GTTTTGTTTTGTTCTCCTAACGTTGAACCCTGAACAATGACAAATCACCAGTTGTAGAGTGCTGCTGTTTTCTTCTGGGCTGCGAGCTAAGAATAGTACTGAAACTATTAAGAACTAAGAATGGTGCTCATATTTATCTTTGTGAAAACAAAAAATATGCAATAAAAGCTGTAGGTGGCTCATCAAGCCAAAAACATTATCTGGCCTGTTGCAGAAAATTGACCTGACCCCTGCTCCAGTACATAAAAGTGAAATTTCCTTACTTTCTAAATAGGTAGAACAAAATAACAAAGTACAAGGAATCCATGGCTCATAAAATGAATGCATTGGAAACATTACAAGATTAAGGCATCATAGTGGTTTTTCTCGATGGCAAAAGTTCTTTTAAAATTCTAAATGAAGGGTCAGCCCAATAGCTCAGTAGATTAAAGCACCTGCAAGCAGGATCAGGGGCCTGGGGTTTGATCCTAGGGCCTGCTGTGCAGGCTCCACCCAGGGGTGTGCTGAGACAGCAATTGAGACTGGGCGTGGTGGCACATGCCTGTAATCCCAGCTCTTGGGAGGCAGATGACTAGGAGTCCAATCTAGTAGTGAGACCCTGAACACCCTGTAGACTCTGCCTTAAAATACAAAAAAAAAAAAAAAAAAAAAAAAAAATCTAAATGAAATCATCTTTTATCCATTATTAATTATTAATATTAATTGCCACCATTACTTCTCATTTGGTTATTGGGAGTAGGGATTGGGGAAGGAGAAGTGATGTATGATAACCAATGGTAAAAATCAGACAGACACATTATTGATTCTGTGTCCAAGACCCCCAGTTTGCTGATTTTTGGCTAACCATAACCTGACTAACAAGTCCTGACATAAAAGTAGAATTAGATCCAAAGTCTGCCAAAGTTCCAGGTTCTGCAATGACATGCTCAATGATGTCACAGAGAGGTTACTCTTAGGATCCTATCATTAATAAGAAAATAGCTACAGTGATCCACCTGAATCAACAGGAGTGTTTCATCAGCAACTCCCAAGGTGTAAATCATGGTGCGGATTATTAAAGACACGGCAAGTATTCATTTGGCTTTGTTGACTATTTCAACAGTGACCACCTTGAGAATGGACTTAATACATTATTTCCTCTTTGGTATTCTTTTATTGCTCTGGAGCAAGGGCAGACCTTTTAATTCTTGCTTTTCATGTTATTCCGGGAGAGGTGGCACAATCTAGAGAGGCAGTCAAGGGACAAATGGATCAAAAAGGATTTTCTTCCTGTTTGATTCTTCCTGTTCCTGACTCTGAGGATGTAGGCCATCTTGTAACATGCCCTGTCTGGAACCCGATCCTATGGATTCTACTCTACTTGCAACCAAGAAATTCTGTGGAAGTAAGAAAGTTCATATTTTATTCTCTGCAAGCATTTATGAAAGAGTCATTGATTGTATACCTTTCTTCATCTCTGTTCTCTTTCAGAATGAGTTGATAGCATTTTTGAAAGCTGCTGGATACAAACTTGTAGTGGTGGAATTTTCCGCAAAATGGTGTGGTCCCTGCAAATTGATGGGTCCTGTTTTTCATGTAAGCATCACCAGTTTCCATCTCGAAGCTCTAGAAAGAATTTAATTCCTACCCCCTCAAACAAGTTTCTAAGCACTTCTTAAAATGCGTGGCCCTTAGGAACCTTTATGGGGACCTCGCTTCTCGAAATACCCAATTTGAGTTGTTGCAAATGGTGGGCAATCACGTCTTACATGTTTAGCTCTCGTTCTGGATCTGTTTTTGTAAAGAAGGCTAATGAGATATTCCAGGCTGTTGTAGTAATACACTTATATTCAGACCTTTGTTTTCTACTTACACATTAGTTCATACTTCATAGTTTCCAGATTGAACTGTTGATGTCCAAACCATATTTTATCTAATTTCTGTATTTCCTTACTTTAAAAGCCATCATTTTATTAAGTTTGGTAAAATAGGTCACAGAAAATCTCAGGGTATTTTCTTCTTGTTTCCCCTTGCTGTGCCAAAGTTGCGTGCTTACACTCAGCCCCTTTTGTAAACTGTGTTCCTTCCTCAAATGCAAGGACTGTTTTGTATTTCTACTATACTCTATTTCCAGTGAGATTTCTAATATTTTACCTCTTGTTGAACTCTTCAGACCACCTGATTTAATTTTAACTAATAACAGCCTCTGACATTTAATTAAAAATGAATTTATAGTCAAGTATAGAAATTCACTATATAATATCTCACTGTTAAATAATACCTGGTAGGCCTAAAATTCCCAGGATATCCAGAGCTAGCATTTTAATATCTGATGGAGACCTTCATTCTGATATTAAAACCATTGCCACAGAAA